GTAGCCGCTGTAGCGGCTGTAGCCGACATGGCGCCGCACCTGACAGCCATGGAGTTGGACAAGATGTCCGTCCTTCAAGCTGCAGGTAAGACCCCGATTCAAATAGCGGCTTGGTTAGCGGTACAACGCCACCGCAAAGGCATAGTGCCTCCTAACCTGACGGCTGTCCGACGGGCGCTACATGGTCAGTCCCACAGAAGGGGCCAGCCAGAGACCCGCGGCCGCAAGAGGACGCTGAGTCAGAAGCAGGTGCGCAAGTTAAACCAAGTCCGCAAAACTTTGAAAAAGTCGGGGTCAGAGTCTAAGGTGACTTATCAACAAATCCTGCGAGTTGGCCGGGTCGCTCGGAAAGTGTCGAGCACAACCTTGGCCAAAAATTTCAAAGCAGCGGGCTTTGATGTCAAGTGGCGTCCAGCCCGGGAAGGCCAGACGCTGGACAAGCAGGCTCGGGCGGAGCGTTTGCGCATTTGCCGCAAGTGGCGCTACTTACCATCCAACTATTGGACGCACAAGGTTGATGCCATCTTGGACAACAAGAAATTTCACATCCCTACTCATGTTGCGGCCCTGCGGTCCCTCAAGAGAGGAAGGGTCAAGGGACACTTGCGGACACGGGCAGAAGGCACTGCCGAACAGTGCAAGAAGCCCAACCCACGCAAGAACCGAGTGAACCCTGGCGGCTCCGTGACCGTCTGTGCAGGCATCATTGATGGGAGATTGCGCCTTTGGCGGCACTTGGACAAAGGCAAGTGGAACGGCCTTGTTGCTGCCAATATCTACCGGGGTCCTTTGCTCAAAGCTCTCCAAAAGTACCGTGGCATGAAGGCCAAATATGTGGTGTTGGAGGACAACGACCCAAGCGGCTTCAAGTCTGGCAAAGGGCTGAATGCCAAGAAGGAAGTTGGCATCAGGGCTATCCCATTTCCGAAATATTCACCTGATTTGAACCCGCTTGATTTTCATGTCTGGCACGCAGTGGAGGAGCGGGTCATCAAAAAGCTTCAAGGCCCAACTTCTGTCAAACAGTTTGGCACTTTGCTTCGTGCAGCTGCTAGATCTTTGAAGAGAGATGCCATCCTTGCAGCTGTTGCGTCCATCAAAGACCGGGCGAAAGCTGTTGTGGCCGCCAAAGGCGGAACCATTGCCCGGGATTGACGGGCTCATTCGTTTCACATCGCATTGCTTCGTGCATTGCCAAGGCCGGACTCTTGCATGCCTGATTGAGCCAAACAGGGGCGCAGCAGCTTGCGAGGTTTTGGTTGGATAAGCATTACTGCAGCTCCAAGGTTCTCAGCTTCCAAAGTCTCGCGCCTGCCACCTAAAACTCTTGTGCCTGCCACGCTTTTCCTATTTCCCCAGTTCAGGTATGTGATTTGCATGGCCCTGCCCATGCAACGCACATGCAACACACATGCAACACACATGCAACACGACATGCAACACGAGCATTTTCCCTGTAAATTTACAGTCAACGTGCAGGATTTGACGTTTGCAGCCCAACTCCGGTCTTAGAATGAAAAGTCTAGATTTTCACCCCCGCGGGCACATTTCTTGGAAATTTACAGGGAAAATGCTCGTGTTGCATGTCGTGTTGCATGTGTGTTGCATGTGTGTTGCATGTGCGTTGCATGGCAGGTGTGTAGGATTGAGCATCCACTGTCCAAACTGGTGCGCGTGCCACGCGGAACGACAGCCAGTGCATCCCCACAGTGCGGAATGAGGTTGCCTAAGACTGTCGCTGTATGTAGTATGTAGTTAACGCAGCGCGACCAATGTTGGCGCGCCTGCACAGGTGCAAGCACACACCCACACATACACACACAAAGAAACACCAGCACACCAATCTAATTCCGATTTTCTGACACTGTGTCGGCATCATTCTCACATTTGTCTGCAGCCATTTTGCTTTCTGGGCTTTGTACAGCGTTTTTCCCCATGGAAGCACATGCTGTGCCAGCTGAAGCAAGCCTGAAGGCAGCAGTGCAAGAACTGTTGCCAGTCGTGGATTTCCAAAGATGCAGCATTCACGACTTCCGCCGCAAGCTTGAAGAGCACCTGCAAGTCACAGCTGGCAGTTTGGAACCCCATGCGCAGGAAGTTCGAAGCATTCTGGAAGAGTGTTTGCAAAATGCCATGGCCCAAAAGGCAAGCATGGCTCAGCAATCCACTGACTGCGACATGGGCGTGGAAGATGTCAGCAAATCCAAAAGAGCCTATTTGGTCACTTTGCCCCACACAGAGGCAGAGACCAGTGCTGATGGTCACAGGCTTGTGCCCCCAAGGAATTTCACACCTCAACAGATTGGAGCCTGCTTTCATGCTGCTTTGACAGCAACACAAGCGGGTCGACAGGCCCCATTGGCTTTCCTTCTCCTCTCTGTCTTCTTGGAAAGGCACAACAACGGGGAAGTTCATTACCATGTGGCTTTACTTGCTGACAGGTGCTTCAGGTTCATGCCGCTGAAGCGCGAGCTTCTCCGTGCGAATGGTTTGGCTTCACATTGGTCATGCAGCCATGACGGCTATTCCTCCTGCGTAGCATATTGCTACTTGCCATCCCCTACGAAACCCATGGAGGAGCTGGATCCACATCCATGGTTATGGGCGGCAAATAATGCAACACACCCGCCACTGGCAGAGGCGAGCCAAGCCCCCGTCACCAGCAACGCCTGGGCCAAAAGGCGAGAGCGGGACAGGCTGCAACGCCATGCCAGTGGAAAAGGGGACAAGCGCTGGCGTGAGGTTGACCTCTGACCCATTGCCGTGGAGCAAAACATCCAGCCAGGACCCGATGCCGGGGAGCGCCTCATGGCCTATGCCAAGAGGTGTGGTGGGCCCATGATGGTGGATTTTTGCTTCCACAATTGGGACCGGTTGCAAGCCATCGTTGAGAAAAGCTGGAAGGTTCAGCATGTCGAGGACTACATTGCCTTCCAAGCCAAGACGCGGTGGCAAGTCTTGCAGGATGCGCAAGACAATGCTTGCACTTGCAATGGTGCTTGGGCTGGCCATGCGCAGCAAATCTTGCAGCAGAATGGCATCCAAGAGGCACAGTGGTGTCAAGCCATGGCCACTGCCTTGAAAGATGGTCGGGCCAAAGGCGCCCTTGTCTGCCATGCTGGATTACATGGCAACGAAGGAAAGTCTTTCCTTTTCAGGCCATTGCTGAAAGTCTTTGGTCCTGACGCAGTGTTTGTGGCTCCTCCATCCAAAAGCTCCTTCCCACTCATGGGTTTGGAGAAAGCACGCTTGGCCTTCTTGGATGATTGGCGGTTCAATGAGGATGTCATTCCCTACGCTTTGCAGCTGCTCTGGTTTGAAGGGGCTCCATTTATTATTTCGAGGCCGCAAAACCAATTCTCTGGGCACTTGCGGTACTCCAAGGATGACCCTGTGTTCATCACAACTTTGTCAGCTGACATTACAGAACTTAAGGGAAAAAAGTTCTTGCAGCAGGGGGATGTGGATATGATGTTGAAGCGTTTGCTTGTCTTCAACTTCACAAAGCCCATCCAGATTCCCAAGCATGTCATCCAGGGATGCGGCCACTGCTTCGCCCATTTCCTGTTGCGGCACATCACAGCTTCTCCCTCTCCGGTGGCAAATGCATCCCGTCAAGGCAGTTCTGACCATCGCCCCGTTTCTGTTGCAGATGCGGAGTCATGGTCAGTTGAAGAGGTCTTGTCCTTTTTGCATCAAATCTCATTGGGGCACTTGGCGCCTACATTTCAAGAGAATGGCGTTGATGGCCAGATGCTCTGCGAGCTGACCTCGGCAGAGCTGGTCGACAACTTGGGCTTGAAGCCGCTGCAAGCCAGGAAGGTGATGAGCCGCTTATGGGCATAAGAATGGCAAGGTCTCTGCTGTGAGTCGCCTGCGTGTACCATATTAAATTTGTGCTATGCACTGTGCGTGCAATATGTTTCATGCACCTGGAAATGCATAATGTCAGTCAATGTCCGTGTGAAAAAAATGACAGGAAGCTGAGAAGCAAACAAAGGGGTGAATGCTGTTATGTTTGTTCTGAGTCCGGGTTCTTCAAAAAAAACAGCCATCCTATGAAATAGAAGACCATAGACGTTATGTCGCCCCCGTCCCCCAATTCAATGTTGTACTCTGAATTATGTGTTTGGCGGCCTTCAAAAAAAACAACCATTTCTGTTCATGGTGTTCGGCACTTCCAAGCACAACATTGAAGTTGGGGGTTGCGGGGGTCATGTATGTATCTATGTGGTTGTTTGTGGATGGCTGTTTTTTTTGAAGAACCCGGGGAGGGATTTTTTGTTCGGCGTTCTTTTTCGTGCTGTTGATGTGCATGTCAATGTAATGTTGATTATCACACACACACACATACCCATTGTCAAAGCATACGCTCGCGGATTCTGTGACAACTCCACAAAGGTGGATGCTAAGCGCCACCATCAGCTTCTGAAAACTATGCAACTTCATTCATTGTCCAAAAATATAGGTGCAGAATATGTGACAATCGCACAAAGGAGGACTCTAAGGGCAACCATCAACGTCTGAAACTTACACAACCTCATCTCAATACATATTTTGTATCATATGTGACGACCCCACAAAGGTGGATGCTAAGGGCCACCATCACCATTGTCCACAAATATTTGTCTGCAATATGTGACAACCCCAGAAAGGTGGATGCTAAGGGCCACCATCACCTTCTGAAAAGTAACAAACCTCATTGTCCACAATTTGTGACAACCCCACAAAGGTGGATGCTAAGGGCCACCATCACCATTGTCCACAAATATTTGTCTGCAATATGTGACAACCCCAGAAAGGTGGATGCTAAGGGCCACCATCACCTTCTGAAAAGTAACAAACCTCATTGTCCACAATTTGTGACAACCCCACAAAGGTGGATGCTAAGGGCCACCATCACCATTGTCCAAAAATATTTGTCTGCAATATGTGACAACCCCAGAAAGGTGGATGCTAAGGGCCACCATCACCTTCTGAAAAGTAACAAACCTCATTGTCCACAATTTGGAAAGTGGATGCGAAGGGCCACCATCACCATTGTCCAAAAATATGTGTCTGCAATATGTGACAACCCCACAAAGGTGGATGCTAAGGGCCACCATCACCATTGTCCACAAATATTTGTCTGCAATATGTGACAACCCCAGAAAGGTGGATGCTAAGGGCCACCATCACCTTCTGAAAAGTAACAAACCTCATTGTCCACAATTTGTGACAACCCCACGAAAGTGGATGCTAAGGGCCACCATCCGCTTCTGCAAAGTACGCAACTTCATTGTCCAAAAATATGGGTGTATAATATGTGGCAACTCCACAAAGGTGGATGCTAAGGGCCACCATCAATGGCTGCAAAGTGCTGTTCTCATGTGCATAGGTGTTTCGCACTGCTCCTCCACATTTGCGCTTATTGAGGTTCAGGTGGGGAGCGTGCGTTTCCACCAGGTGGGTGCCACTCCACATTCCTGTCTTGAGAGGTGTTCCGCAAAGCCCTTCCACATCTGGACCTGCTGAGGCCGGGCCGAAGCAGCTCCAGAGTGGGCCGGCGGCGCGTTCGCCAGGTGGCACGCCACTCTCATGTGCTAAGTAGTCTGCAATGCTCCTCCACAACTGGTCGTGCTGAGGTTAGCCAAGGCATCTCCGGGGGTGGGGCTGTTGCGCAGTCGCGAAGCACCAGTCACATGTCATGAGCTCAACAGATATGTTTTCGCCATACTCCAAATTCCATGCTCCATACTCAGGAGTCGTGCTGTTTACTCCTATGATCTACTCAGATGAACCCCTGCCCTTTGCCATATCCGCAGCGCGCCAGGCCCAAGAACTGTAGCCGCTGTAGCGGCTGTAGCCGACATGGCGCCGCACCTGACAGCCATGGAGTTGGACAAGATGTCCGTCCTTCAAGCTGCAGGTAAGACCCCGATTCAAATAGCGGCTTGGTTAGCGGTACAACGCCACCGCAAAGGCATAGTGCCTCCTAACCTGACGGCTGTCCGACGGGCGCTACATGGTCAGTCCCACAGAAGGGGCCAGCCAGAGACCCGCGGCCGCAAGAGGACGCTGAGTCAGAAGCAGGTGCGCAAGTTAAACCAAGTCCGCAAAACTTTGTTGAAAAAGTCGGGGTCAGAGTCTAAGGTGACTTATCAACAAATCCTGCGAGTTGGCCGGGTCGCTCGGAAAGTGTCGAGCACAACCTTGGCCAAAAATTTCAAAGCAGCGGGCTTTGATGTCAAGTGGCGTCCAGCCCGGGAAGGCCAGACGCTGGACAAGCAGGCTCGGGCGGAGCGTTTGCGCATTTGCCGCAAGTGGCGCTACTTACCATCCAACTATTGGACGCACAAGGTTGATGCCATCTTGGACAACAAGAAATTTCACATCCCTACTCATGTTGCGGCCCTGCGGTCCCTCAAGAGAGGAAGGGTCAAGGGACACTTGCGGACATGGGCAGAAGGCACTGCCGAACAGTGCAAGAAGCCCAACCCACGCAAGAACCGAGTGAACCCTGGCGGCTCCGTGACCGTCTGTGCAGGCATCATTGATGGGAGATTGCGCCTTTGGCGGCACTTGGACAAAGGCAAGTGGAACGGCCTTGTTGCTGCCAATATCTACCGGGGTCCTTTGCTCAAAGCTCTCCAAAAGTACCGTGGCATGAAGGCCAAATATGTGGTGTTGGAGGACAACGACCCAAGCGGCTTCAAGTCTGGCAAAGGGCTGAATGCCAAGAAGGAAGTTGGCATCAGGGCTATCCCATTTCCGAAATATTCACCTGATTTGAACCCGCTTGATTTTCATGTCTGGCACGCAGTGGAGGAGCGGGTCATCAAAAAGCTTCAAGGCCCAACTTCTGTCAAACAGTTTGGCACTTTGCTTCGTGCAGCTGCTAGATCTTTGAAGAGAGATGCCATCCTTGCAGCTGTTGCGTCCATCAAAGACCGGGCGAAAGCTGTTGTGGCCGCCAAAGGCGGAACCATTGCCCGGGATTGACGGGCTCATTCGTTTCACATCGCATTGCTTCGTGCATTGCCAAGGCCGGACTCTTGCATGCCTGATTGAGCCAAACAGGGGCGCAGCAGCTTGCGAGGTTTTGGTTGGATAAGCATTACTGCAGCTCCAAGGTTCTCAGCTTCCAAAGTCTCGCGCCTGCCACCTAAAACTCTTGTGCCTGCCACGCTTTTCCTATTTCCCCAGTTCAGGTATGTGATTTGCATGGCCCTGCCCATGCAACGCACATGCAACACACATGCAACACACATGCAACACACATGCAACACGACATGCAACACGAGCATTTTCCCTGTAAATTTACAGTCAACGTGCAGGATTTGACGTTTGCAGCCCAACTCCGGTCTTAGAATGAAAAGTCTAGATTTTCACCCCCGCGGGCACATTTCTTGGAAATTTACAGGGAAAATGCTCGTGTTGCATGTCGTGTTGCATGTGTGTTGCATGTGTGTTGCATGTGTGTTGCATGTGCGTTGCATGGCAGGTGTGTAGGATTGAGCATCCACTGTCCAAACTGGTGCGCGTGCCACGCGGAACGACAGCCAGTGCATCCCCACAGTGCGGAATGAGGTTGCCTAAGACTGTCGCTGTATGTAGTATGTAGTTAACGCAGCGCGACCAATGTTGGCGCGCCTGCACAGGTGCAAGCACACACCCACACATACACACACAAAGAAACACCAGCACACCAATCTAATTCCGATTTTCTGACACTGTGTCGGCATCATTCTCACATTTGTCTGCAGCCATTTTGCTTTCTGGGCTTTGTACAGCGTTTTTCCCCATGGAAGCACATGCTGTGCCAGCTGAAGCAAGCCTGAAGGCAGCAGTGCAAGAACTGTTGCCAGTCGTGGATTTCCAAAGATGCAGCATTCACGACTTCCGCCGCAAGCTTGAAGAGCACCTGCAAGTCACAGCTGGCAGTTTGGAACCCCATGCGCAGGAAGTTCGAAGCATTCTGGAAGAGTGTTTGCAAAATGCCATGGCCCAAAAGGCAAGCATGGCTCAGCAATCCACTGACTGCGACATGGGCGTGGAAGATGTCAGCAAATCCAAAAGAGCCTATTTGGTCACTTTGCCCCACACAGAGGCAGAGACCAGTGCTGATGGTCACAGGCTTGTGCCCCCAAGGAATTTCACACCTCAACAGATTGGAGCCTGCTTTCATGCTGCTTTGACAGCAACACAAGCGGGTCGACAGGCCCCATTGGCTTTCCTTCTCCTCTCTGTCTTCTTGGAAAGGCACAACAACGGGGAAGTTCATTACCATGTGGCTTTACTTGCTGACAGGTGCTTCAGGTTCATGCCGCTGAAGCGCGAGCTTCTCCGTGCGAATGGTTTGGCTTCACATTGGTCATGCAGCCATGACGGCTATTCCTCCTGCGTAGCATATTGCTACTTGCCATCCCCTACGAAACCCATGGAGGAGCTGGATCCACATCCATGGTTATGGGCGGCAAATAATGCAACACACCCGCCACTGGCAGAGGCGAGCCAAGCCCCCGTCACCAGCAACGCCTGGGCCAAAAGGCGAGAGCGGGACAGGCTGCAACGCCATGCCAGTGGAAAAGGGGACAAGCGCTGGCGTGAGGTTGACCTCTGGCCCATTGCCGTGGAGCAAAACATCCAGCCAGGACCCGATGCCGGGGAGCGCCTCATGGCCTATGCCAAGAGGTGTGGTGGGCCCATGATGGTGGATTTTTGCTTCCACAATTGGGACCGGTTGCAAGCCATCGTTGAGAAAAGCTGGAAGGTTCAGCATGTCGAGGACTACATTGCCTTCCAAGCCAAGACGCGGTGGCAAGTCTTGCAGGATGCGCAAGACAATGCTTGCACTTGCAATGGTG